AACGTTATAACTCGGCATAATTGAAGATTTAGCAGAATTTTTGTATTATTACAACCTGAATTTGTACCTGTCACAATTTTTAAGATGTAAATTAAATATTCACTTGGAATAAATCAATATTCATGAACATTTTATAACGAAATCTTACTGATATTTCAAGACATTAGCAAAACATTTGCATACACTAAACAAGAATACTAACAAACAAAGAATTCAAAGCTATGTTAACGGCATATTAGCAAAGCTCAAAGCAACAATGAATGCACTCAGTCTGGAGAATGCACTGTTCATAGCCGTTTCTAGTTCACTGACTACAAGCCCCATTGACTGGAAACTGGAGAACAGTTGATATTATTTTCTATTCGCCATTTAGATATACTACAATATTTCGTTGTGATATTGTCTTGTATTTCCTTAATTTTGTTTCTAGTCAATTTACTTTGTTAACAAAGAGTCTCTTAATGACTACTGGAATATTGTACCCTACAGCAACTAATTCAAAGTTATTGTTGCTATACATCTAAGGTAGAGAAAATCCCAACAGCCTATTTATCTGGGTTGGGGAAATAATTTCTCATTGTACTGACAGAAATGTGGAGATACCACAATCCCATTTAAGGGCGCTCATGATTTTTTTAGAGAATGCTTTTATTTTACTTGTCAGAACATGACAAGACTTGTCAGTTTGAAAAGTAAAATTCAATGTACTCTTAAAAAAAACTGCCGAAAAAGGATTGGAAATGAAACATAACACTTAACCGAAAGTTTTAACATCATTAGAAATTATTGGTGCTTCCAGATTTACACGGAATTTGAACTAAGCTTACCTATCCATATGAGTTTTAACACAGAACAGGAAAATTCTCCAAGTATCTGTATTTATTAGTAGTGTTATTAGTTTTTGTTAAGAGTAGAAACAGAATTTCGATGGAACCGTGTTAATGCAGCCTTGTGTTATTTTGGAGAAAAACGTTCGTCCAACTCCACAACAACTTTTAGCGCATGTTTTCAGCACGGAAGACCAAGTTTTTAATTTGACAGGGTTAAATTTTTCACGGCACTTCCCTGAGCACATACATCTAAAAACCGTCAGTCGTTGGTGGATAAAAATGTTTTTCTCGGGGGTTTTCACAAAATTCTATCCTGGCACCGTTGTTGCGTGTTGGTAACAGTCCCCTGTCTAATGATTCTTCAAATATTTAAATTCGTACAATAAATGCATATTTCCTATATGCAGTAAAGTAGCATAGTTCAATTACATTTTATACTCCTCTTCAATGGAACAGTCCCCTGGCAAAAGTTAGAATGAGTTGCCCATTCGCCCATGGACACTGGCGAAGGCTTTAGAAAACTCCAGCATTCTGATGACATCACAAATCTTTATTTGCGTAAACTAAGTTTACGCGTAGATAAAAATGCATAGAAGAAAAAGTTTTTTCTCGTGTTAATTTTTCTTGTTTATCTTTCGTGTTCAAAAAAAATCCATTCTAATTATTTTCTTGTAGTTGTTAAGTTTATGTGTGATCTGCGCAGAAAGAAATAGTTTTTCTTTCTAACGTTCTAGAAAAAGGCAGTAGCCCGCCAAGTAAGATCACGACTATTCGGAGCATGTTTCTTTTTCAATCTTAGAGCACTTTATATTCCCTGAATATCTAAATCGACGATTGCGAAGTACATACAGGAATAACATTAAATATAAATTCAACGACTATACTTAACATGAATTTAGCCAGGATCTAACTCGAATCTCATATATTTATAAATAATATAGTTATAGATTCAAATAGCCTCTAAATCTACGTCGTAAGTTGGACGATTTTAGAAACCTACATATCACTTTTATTACACATTCAGCCATGCAATAAAATGAGGTCCATAAAACATATACATCTACGAGATTCGAATCTGATATAGAGAAAGATTCTTCAAGCAAATATCGGGAAAACACGATTGGCACTAAATCTCGTCAAACCACAATCCCATAAAAACCTTAAAGTTCCACTGTTTTCACTTTTCTTTGTCAAATGTGCATAATAAAGATGTGAATGTGAGCCTCTAATCTAAAATCAAAACAGTAACACAGAAACAATATACAACTTGATAAATGTATGCAATCCAAAATATATGTAAATTAAGATTTATTTTCGTAACAAAATAAATCCGCATATTTGTACAAACATGATTACTAAAAGGAAAAAAGGGGCATCATAAGGAAGATTTAATTTAATTTGGCATAGAAGTACATATACACAGATTTGCGTAAAATTTCCAACCAAGTAGCTCGTATTGAACAATATTTTATCCCATCATATGCATTATTCTTAGCATACGTAAACGAAACTTTCCAGATGTCATATTTTTGTCCTACATTAATATAGAGACCGGTCAATCTTATGTTCTTTAACTGAATACTTCGGGTTAGTAGCAACATAATATAAAATAAAAACGCAGCAGTAACCACAACTATAAAAATTCAAAGCAGCACAGAAAACTGCTATACAAATAATTTGCGAATGTATCCAATTCTGTGGTACTTGAAAATATTGGAAAAGTGTAATAATGATCTCCCCTTCGTGTGTTAAGCTGTCGCTTCAGTAAAGTTACACAGTGATAATACGGCAGATATTGCTCCCCTTGAAGATTATCACGTCTGGCACTTGGGTATTACTTCCACAAATGGGTAAATAGGCAGGTGAAAAATGTAGTTGCGAGGTTAGAAAATAACTTTGAAGCACCGTAGTATTTTGTTAAGCTGAATTTTATGCAAAGGATTTTGTTATACGATACGAAGTTTTAGTGACGTGTATTACCGAAATAATAGGTTGGTACGACACCAACCTATTATTTCGGTAATAAACGTCACTAAATTAACTACAATTTTTATGATTATTGCAATGACATTTATCAATCTAATACAATTTGTTTACCTCGTGACATACTACGGAATGGGTCACCAGTAAAAAATCCTCCTTATTAATAATATAGTATTTTTTTCTTTCTGCAGATACAAAAGTAGTAGGTAAGTAACGTTAAAGAACGAAAATGAAAACAGAATGCTTTACAATCCGTAACTAAAAGAAACACTCTTCTTAAAGTTTTCTATGCTACTTTTCAAAAACTTTTATCCATTTGGGATGACGCATACCTGCAATGTTTGTATGCCATCCATTTTTGTCTTAAGAAATCTTTGTTGAATTCTACTTTTGCTACATTGCGGGAAAGTATTAAAAAGTTTTAGGGCTGTGTACGAGTGTATTTCGTAAAACTATAACTAGGGAAACCTGTAATAATAACTAAATTCTAGAACTACATTTATTAAACGTGTTGACCTTTCAACATAATTATGGAAAATTATGGAAAACACATAGTTATTATCGTGTACATGTATATCACGCTACTTTTAACGACAAAGGACTAAAGACTGCATTTAAAGTCTGAAATAGCAGTTTGTAATGTTCATGACCTTGAACAAATTTGATTGTGTAGGTGTTAATTGCACTTTAATTCTACTAATTTTTATAACTTCACTTAATTTATGAAGGGTAATACAAAACCCACAAAACAGGTTATCATCATCAGCTAACCGCAAACTTTTAGCTATCCTTTTAGAGAAATAGAAATCGCTATAAAAACTGCCTTTATTGCGTAAAGTAAGAGACAATAGACTACAATAAGTATAAAAAGGCCACTTTCTAATGATCATGACCCGTGGCTTGGGCAAGTTTCAACTATGACGTTAAGTATCATTACTAGTTTAATCTCCTAACATCTGTTTAGTTTTTTCCATACTTTAAACTGTTAAAGCAACAACGTGTCCTAAGCGTGTAAATGAGATCAAAACCTAAGTTTTTTGCGGAACAACTGCATAACCGATATGACAAATTCTTCATACAATATGATACGATATATTTGCATTGAAGCCTTTTCAAAAGCCACTCCAGACTCAGGGCAATAATATAATATTTGACTAATTGATAACTTTAGTATCTTTAAAATATTACGGCGAGGAAATTCTTTCTTAAAATTTGTCCAGAGGTCAAGAACTACTTCATAACTCTTAGAAACCTATCAAGACGTTTTTAAGTTAGTATTCAATTATTTATGTAGATACAAAAATGCTAAAAATTACTAAAAGACCTAATTTGCAAACTGGTTAAAAACGGATTAAGCTCGGGATCAAAGGAGTTACGATTTTTGATCTCAATTTTAAAGTTATCTAATTTAACTTATTTGTTTTTAATAATTCAACTGTAAATATCGAAATGGATATTAGTTAAAAAGACATTAAATGTTTCGACGAGACATTAGAAATAATCAGAATCTCTTTGGATTGATACAGAAGGCAGAGATAGTGGTACAAATATTGTAATTGCAAGAAAACTTACAGACTTCTTAATGGGATAAGTTTTGCGAAAAAGATCCACATACAAATGTTGTGTGACGTGAAAGAAAGAAAACACACTCCTTGGAGACGAGGTTTTAACTACTTAACTTCCAAACTAGACTGCGATATTTTGTTCTGTACATGAACGTTGTGCAACTATTCACAGAAAGTTGCAAATAAAATTTACAAGGACCTTGTACCTAATTCAATTTGGGCCGACAGAAATACAACTCTTTTCTCAAAAAAAAAACATTATTTGAAGGCACGCTACATACTTGTTCACTTTAAATATCATTAATCCCAAAAGCATTGTCCTAATCAAGGAGATCATATAGTCGATGACCGGCTCCATAATAATTTAATAAAGTTAATAGTAATGTAGGCGTCTCATCGCAAAGGCGAGCAGACTTGTAGATCGCCTTCCTCAGCAACGTCTATCCAAATTAGGATTTTATATTCGTCAATCCACTGGTGACATCATGGCCTCGTCATTCGCAGAAAACGGTACAACAAGAAATGAAATAGTAATAGATATGAAATCAACGGTAGCAGTCAAATATTAGTGACACGCGTGAGGGCAGGAGCAAGGTAAACACAGCACGAGGGTCGTGTTTACCCTATATTAAGGGCCGAATGGGCTACGGGCGAGGCGATGACGTCACGGGGCGGCGCCCTAGTGGCTCGGCGTGTTCCAACTGAGCTCGCGTTGAAACGTCGCCGATGAGACGGTGACATGTGAATATGGCGGGAATTTGCATGTGCCAAACGTAATAAAGTAACAGTGTGTGAAAAGGCTTTCCATAAATTGAACTTTTAGTTTTGTTTTTCGCCTTCTTTTTCCAATTAATTTCATTATTAAACATAACACAGTTTAACTTAACGTAAACTGTGTTTATACCATTGTAATCAATTTTAAGAATTAACAACAGCCGCTATCATCGAACGGTCCAATCAAAAGCATTGCACATTATTCTTCCAATTCATTGGAAAAAACGTCTGACGTGTCACCATAAACATGATAAAATTATACACAAAGGCTGACATCATTGATAACAGACACAATTTATCGCGGCACGAAAACATTGTGAGTGTAAAACAATTTGCCAACTCTCGGCTGATTGGATAATAACTTTGTAGCTAAACAGTTCTGTTTGCGTCTGTCATCTCATGAGTAACAACATCAAATCTGACACGAGATACCTACTTCACATTCTAGAGAATTTGTCTACAATATCTGGTTCTTTAATGTAAAATTATGTTTAAACTAAACTATAATTTGTGAATAGGTTCATAATTTTATCTGTCTATTTTTATTAAAACTTAGATAACACGTTTTAACATATTTCCATTTTGGCCAAGGTCATTTTGTGAAATGCCATCGATTTATTTGCTAGAGTGCTTTTATATTAACACTATTGTGTATTTATTATGTTGACGATCTAGCTAATAAACATATTATTAAGTATCAAAACTAGTATATGCATAACATAACCTCTAAATATAAAACTTTGTTTTTAGATTTCTAGTAAGCATAAAGCTATTTTTCGTCCAACCACATCGAACTACATTATATATTTTTTTAGTCGAGAGGGATTCAAATTGAAAAAGAAGAGTTATTTCAATTGTAGAGCGTCTCTTACTAATGAACCGTCTACTAATTCTTTTCAGTGAAACCTGACGTGGCTTTAAGCCAGAAAGACCCTTTAGAACGAAGTAGGGCATTTTAAAGGCCTTTGTAAGGTAATACGCAAATGAAGCTTAAATTGACAAATGAAGAACTTTATAAACCAGACTCATTACGACAGTTAAAATCCATTAAGCGTATTAAAGTTCTAATTAGTTATAGCTTCAAGATAACAGACATTAGGGATGTTTATAATGAAAGGAGATGCTTGTAAGTACCGGTGACTTAAACCCGTTTTATTGCGGATGTATCGACAGTTTAATACGATATTGATGGTTATAACTTGCTAATAAAGCTGTATAGGAGAATACACGGAGTATACCACACTTATCGTAAGTGAAGACTGTCTGCAGGTCTGCAGCCCTACCCTTTAGCAGCAACGGGAAACAATAGAATGATAAACGACATCCTTACGTCATAGCATCGCAAACAAGAAAGATAACACTAATTACTATCAGATAATGCCTCAATTTATCAAAAGGGAGGGGTGGTATGAAACTCGCCACTCAAATTAAAGGGATAAATAGCTCGTGATAGAGAATTTGCATTAATTTTCCGGCTCGACGCGAACGCAGGGAGCGCCTGTAATGATATGAAAATTCTAAGATGCTTTAAAAACACGAACGACTCACTGGTGCAGTATGTGGGTTGAGCATATGAGGGAATACGCGACGTTTTCGTTGAAAATAGGTCACATTTACAAGATTTAAGACCTCTTAGACTTCCGTAATGTGTTTTCTTGATAGCAATCCAGTGATGAATGATGTTAAAATTGAGGTGAATAAAAGTTATACCGGAATTATAGAAAAGGATGTTGTAAACCACCAAGCACGCCCAATGAAAACTTTTGTAAATAGCAAATCTTATTGAAATTAGCGATTTCCTCGTGTCAATTAACTAAGATAAACTCTACTAGTTTCAAGTCACAGCGGAACTCATATGTACAATAATGTGTATTAAAATAAAGTATTGCAGAGATATTGTAAGACATACATATTTTCAAAAGAGTAACGATGTAGTGTTTGCTCGTGATTCTGACAATTATTGTGACGTTTCAAAAATACCCGGAATAACTGTTTTTGACCCTTGACATATTCATGAGCAAGACCGACGTCATTATCAATAAATTTTGTGTATCTTACGATAGTTAAATACACAAAAACTTGTAAATACCTATTTCTTTATACACGTTTACATTATAGTTTTCCATTACCCGAACTTGTTACCTATATCCTCGAGAGATTTCAAAAACTCGAAAGAAATCTGCCTCGTTTATATTATCAAACTGTTTATTCAAAGGATTCAAACTAAATACATTACTTTCCGAGGTAATTTAACAATTTCCGACAAGTAATATAAGTTAGATCATTTTTGGTTAGTACACAGTACATATATAAAAATGCGATGCCCTTTTCTGTTAGAAGAAGAAAAGAAAAGGATCATGCCTGAAATTGGACCAAATAAAAAATATCTTATGCAAAGTTTGAACTGTTTTATTATTGGGAATATTATGTTAGACATTAATTGCGTATATCTTCTTTCCGTTGATACAGATTCTGTTGCCGAGAACCATTAAAGAAAATAATTTACATGATCACATTCTAAACTACACATATTTGAGAACTACTTTAATTTTGATTTCGTCAAGTAAGGCAGCGAATTACCGACTAAAACCAGATAGAATATTACCTACACATCAGTAAACTTAGGTACGTTTACTAATCACAAACTTAGGAGCGTGTCTATCTGAAACAGGCTGACATGTCTGAAGCTACTCCAATCGATCGTTGCTAGGCATTGAATAATTAGTATGCATCTGAAGCTAATCTAGATGGATCGAGTTCGGTAATGCAGTGTCACTACCTAACTTAGGTTGAAGCTAGTTAAATGATTGGATCTTCTATAGATTTAAGTCTTATCAGAACCTGCTACATGCACGCAGTACCTACCAAATAATAACATAAGGCCTGATACTCCCCCCTCCCGCCATACTCAATGCCCAAATCCCCTTTCCTTAAATTCCTTATTAAAATTTGGTAGATATAACGAGAGTCCGTGAGCGACGCCAATTGCTTACAATCAGGATATCCATCCGTAAAAAAGGTTTTTTAATTGATTCGTCTTGTTTTATCCTAGGTCCTGAAGTGTATAATTTTGAGTCAAGGGACTTTTATTTGGCTTGACAAAAAATTTCATACTACCTGGCCTGCAAGTTTTCAAACCAAAACTAACGTAGAAATATTTTTTCGCTGAAACTAAAACGAAACCAAAATTGGAATACACCGCAGAGCAATTTGGCGAGTTTCTAGCAAAACAGAATAGTACTACACAAGCGCTATGTAGAATTTTTATCTTTATAAAAATAGGAAAACATTCAGTGTTCCATTCAAATAGTTTCAATTATTCCACCTCTGAACGTAGCAGTAACTAGCTACGAGACTGAATTCCTAAAAGTAAAAAATCGTCCATTCGTTCTGTTTTTCCTTTTATGGAAAAGTTTGTAGTTTTCAGTTTTAATGGCTTTCAATTTTACTCCCACTATGGTTTTATAGAGAAAGCTTCTATATCAATAAAACATAAACGAGGTTTTATCGAGGTACAGAGCACCGAAGATGTACCTAGGTACTTACCTATAAGAAATTCACTTATACTTCAAGTCTGAAGTGCCTACGATCGACTTATTGCTTCCAATTCCCTCTCACGTCCTTCAGAAACCTTGGAACTCTAACCTTGAGTCACGTCCTTGGGCTTAACCTAATTTTCTATCATTTTCGTTCATCTGTTCATTGAAAATCGACTTTTATGGCAGGTGGAACACGATTAAAATTGGCTTATCACTGTTATCGCAATGAGAATGTTCGCAATATAATGCGAGTTGATATTAAAAATGACGACACGTTTTACTGTTTGAAATGTGCTGTTATTTATAATGTCCCCCTACTGTTCGTCCCTACAATTGTATTAATAGGGGGAGTTACCCTTCCTGTGATTAGACGTTGGAACTTTTTCTTTGAACTTGTCCTTTCACTAGGAACCATAAACTCAAGTTTATATTAAGACACAATTATAATAATTATCTTGATTAATGGGTTTACGGAAAATTCTTCGTTGAGTAATTTTCCGCTAAAAGTGAAGCGAAATTTTTAACACGTGTTCGCTATACGGCGGTACGTTTTAGCGCTTGTGGATGCTTGTAAATTCAACACGAGTAGGTATTTACCGCTCATGTTGACGTGAGACGGGAACTTCTCTCATACATAAGTGAAGTACTTTCTCACTAGCAACATTCGGTTAAACAAGAGTAAATCAAGAGAAACCCCAAATACCTTTAAACATGAATTACACCAGGCACGTGATTGCAGAAAGTGAGTGCAATGTTCAGTGCGAATATTTGAAAAGCAAAAGATTTGTTAAGAGAAAAACAATCCTAACATGATACAAATAGGTTGGTAATAGGACAAAATGAAACACCGACATACCTACTGTTAAATACACAATAAACAAACAAAATACTGCAGTAAACACAAATACCAGTAAACAGTGTAAGTAATTAACAGCGACGCTCCCGAACAGGCCGCAATTCGTCTTTATTATTATTTTAATTTGACACACACAAGAGTAATTACTACTTACATAATTAACACAGCGTCTATTAGCGTTATTAGAATATTGTGCTGTTAATAGGTGTATTCGAGTTACACAATACGTATTATGCGATCTGTTTCACGACACTCAGTTACTGAGTCTGGATGATAAGTAAGATGTATCTATGATTGAAGCGCAGGATTGGGACGCGGATGAAGATTGACACATTAAGATAAAGTACTTAACATATACCTACAACTAACTAGGTCAATACTTGTAAATTTTGTAAACTTAAAATCAAGACAATTTAAAAAACTAACTACAGATTTTAGTGTAATTCTAAGGACTTAAGATTACGATATAAATTCAATTTAAACTACAAATAAACCATTTAAAACTCTTAATATTAAACAAAGGTTTTGGGAAAGGTCGACATTAGTGCCCAATAATTAAGAAGTAAGAACAA